TGTGTGTGTGTGTGTGTGTGTGTTGATATTGAAGAGGTTATGAATGAGATGGAAATAGAAACAGGTAAATATCAATTAGTCCCAAACTAATACTGTTCATAAGATTAAATGCTATTTGCTTTTCAGTTCAGTCCTATTGACTTTTTATACATAGCCACTGTTTTTCTTTCACTCTAGGTGACAGCATGGTTTGTGTCTTTAAAAACAATTAAAATTTTTTTCTCAGGGAATTTTAGGTAAGTTTATACAAACAACATAGAAACGATAAAAATGTGAAAGCTTCTGTTATTGGTGAGAGGTATAACATTTGCCCAGCATTCCCAAGCATTAAATGGAGGCTGGAAAGCTAAAAGTATCTTATTTATTCACCAATGCACTGAAATTGAATGCATAAAATCCAAGAATTCATGGATCATTCCCCAAAGCCAAAAGTGAAACAAATTCAGTTGTCATAAAGTTCTGTTGTGGAGATGGCTGTTTTTTATTTTGTTTTGTTTTGCTTGTTTGTTTGTTTTTTCCAAATCCCTGCTCTAGAGCTGGCAATGTGAAAGAAGCAGAGTGTCTCCTGTTCAGGAGCAATAACTAAGGAGCCCAGTTGTAAGGACAATGTCCAGTTCATAAAAGAATGCCCTAAAGGCTGGAGAGATGATACAAGTGCTCGCATTGCGAACATGGATACCCGAGTTCAGTCTCCAATACCCATGGAAAAAGCAAAGCATGAGGCTGAGGAAATGACTGAACAGGTAAAGTCATCTGCTGCCAAGCCTAAGAACCTGAATTGCATCACCAGGATCCGCATAGCAGGAGAGAATCAACTCCCAAAAGATGCCCTCTGACCTCACATGCTGAGGTATACATCACACACACACACACACACACACACACACACACACACACACACACACACACACCCAGCTAACACTACTTTGAAACCTCCAACGAACTAGTTAAGAGGTGGTCATTGTGGCTTTTAAGCCACTAAGTACATGTCGATAAGAAACCAGATGCTCACATAGTATAAAGTGGAGCCCAAGCTGACTAGAACTGAGAAGGAACAGTGGAACACAGAAACGGTGACCACCAGGACTATGCAGTCCTTCTGCTGTCACTATTGCTGGGACCACACAGCTTGATGTCACAGTGCAGGTAATTCAAAGCTTCCCAAAGTGATGGTTGCCACACTTGATGTCCTGCTGGATCGGGGTAAGGGAGAGAGTGGAGTGGTTCAGTGGGTATACCAAAAGGTGATTCCATCTGTAGGACCGGGAAGAAGGGGCAGAAGAAATTTCTAAAGTCTGGAAAAATTAATATACTGTATTAACTATGATTTTTTTGTTCCCCAAGTGGACAACAAACCCATAATTCTCCTATAAACCCCCTACCAACCCTGGTAATGGCATCAGAGGTGTACACTGGCACACCAGGCTCTGAAATACTCTTACTAAAAAATAAATTAAAACTGAATCAACTGAGCTTTGCAAAAGGACTAAATGCTCATATTCCCCAAAATTCATACATTGAAATCCTAAGCCCAAGGTGACAGTTGGAGGTAAGGCATTCGGGGAGAGTTTAAGTGAAGATGGAGTCATCATGATTGGAATTTAGTGCCCATAATAAAAGAGACCTCGAGAATTAGCAAGGCCCTCCCACGGTAAGCTTGCATGAAGCCGCGGTAAGAAAGCACAATTCTGTGAGCCAGAAACTGGGTCCTCACCAGACGCCAAAATAACCTGACCTTGGGCTGGCAGCCTCCAGAAGTGCTTTGAAATGAGCTTCTGCTGCATACAAGCTACAGTTCACAGCGTTTGCTTACAGCAATGCAAATGAACTACGACAGACTTCAGAACCAATTTCTAGTCAACAAGAAAAGCAAGGGGTAGAATGAGAAGTGAAATGGTGAATAAAAATACACTTGGAAGGCCCAGAAGAAACAGTCTACAGGGCAACCGTCCTGATTCCTCAAAAAATCAGTTTCATAGACAGATGCACACACAGACAGACAAGCAGGAGACAGTATTTTGTAGGTGAAAATTTGACCTAAATTACCAAATGCAATGTTTATTCCTTGGTTAGGAGAACTTGGTGTGAATAAATCACCCATAAAAGAATTTTCAAACAATCGACTGAACCCAGATGTAGAGTTATAACTGTGTGGGGAAGGGTCCTTATTTTTTAAGAGAGCCATAATGAAGAGCCATACAAATGCTAGCTTTCTTGAGGAAAATGTAAACATTTAATCCAAAAAGAATAGCACAAACATATAATGGACCTATGGCTATTGCTAAATCCTATCTTTTCTGAAAGCTGGAAATTTTCATAAATTTTTAAATTTTTTTTTAATTTTTGTGTACACGTATGTAGGTGTGTGGTGTGGATGTATCAGAGTGTCTGCATGCACTATCCCAACCATAACTTTTAATTTGTTATACTTATTTATCATATATATGTGTGTGTGTGTGCATGAATGTACACATACATCACAACACACATGTGGAAGTCAGAGGACAATTTTCAGGAGTCAGTTCTCTCCTGCCTCGTGGACTCCAGGAATCAAACTCTGTTATCAGTTTTAGAGGCAAGAACCTTTAGCTGCTGGGCCACCTTTCTGACTCCGTACCCATAATTTTATCCAAGAAATGTTCAAATCCCAAATTATACACTTACTAGTATGAAATCAGTTTGAAGCTTGATGAACTAGTAAAGTATATGTGATATGTTCACCATTTAGAAATTTCATAATTCTGTTCTTCTTCGATGATTATATTACCAAATACCAAGTACAGCTTTTCTCAGAAAATTCCCTTATAAAATTAACTGTCTTATTTAATGTCCTATCGCTTGAAGAGATGCCATGACTGTGGCAACGTTTATAAAGAAAGCATTGAATTGGAGGCTTGCTTACAGTTTCAGAGGCTTAGTCTATTATCAGCATGGCAGGAGGCTTGGAGGTGTATGGGCAAATGTGATGCTGGGGAAGCAGCAAGAGTTCTATATCCTAATCCACCGGCCACAGGGAGAGACTGGACCTGGCATAGGCTTTTAAAGCCAATCCCCAGTGACACTTCCTCCAATAAGACCACACCTACTCCAACAAGGCCACACCCTTCTAATCCTTCTCCAATAGTGTCACTTCCTGATGATTAAGCATTCAAATGTATGAGCCTATAGGGGTCATTCTTATTCAAAGCACCATATTAACTTTTCAATCCAAACAAAACTTTTTCAGATGGAGAAATGACAGATCACGTGATGATCAGAGTTTTCCCATTCTGTTCTTTTTGTATTCTGTTTATGTATATCTAGTCAGGAATCTATTTAGAGACTTTAGGAATCCAGGTTGGTCACCCCTCAGCCTAACACATCATGCAGGTTAGAAGTGAGTTCCCATCCACATTCAATCACACAAAGACCTATATTGCTTATTATTTTCTACTCCTGCCAAACTGTGTTTCTCCCAGAGCCAACTATCTGACTATTCACTTTCGAATAAGTTTCCCAGAAGATTAGAAAAATTAAGAGGAGACTTGTCCAAGTCAGTGCTTGAAATGCAGCGCAACAGCTATCTTCAACAAATATTCTGACCCACAATAAATGCTGGGCAGGCTGTGTTTTTCTCATCCCCTGACAAACTAGAGCATGGAGGAGGGTGAATGCTGTCATAGCTCTCTCAGGGCTCATTATCCTCCCATCATTCCCAGGAATAGTCAGACAAGAGGGAAAGAGTATTTGTCAACCTCTCACCAACCCCAGGCTCCAGCCAAGATTCATCAATCCTAGGTGAAGAGCCAAAGATAAATGCCAGTCTGGAATCCACTCTAAAACCCCTGGCCCCATTTCCCCAAAACCCAAAATATTTTTTTGTGTGTATTTAAAAAAAAAAAAAAAGCAACAACAAAAATCTCACAAAACATCTTTTTCCCCCTATTCCATTCCTAACATGCTGAGAAGAGAAAAAAAATCACAGTAGGAAACAAGAAGCATGTCATCTCTAAATGAGAAACACTAAGAAGAAATCAGAGCATAGAGAAGTATGGGATGGCCAGAATCCACATGCCAGGTAATTAGCTAGTTTCACTTTTCAAGATGTTTACATCTGTACATCTGCAAGAGATTTCACTCAAGGGAATGAATCTGTTCGTGTTCTAAAACCATGTTTCCTACAGAGAATTCAAAGACCCCTAAAGTTTGGGTTGTCGCAAGTTTTGGTAGTTGGATTTGGGGGATAAGGGAAAGCAAACTAGGGAGAGCAGTGAGGATTTACCAGAACGTGCTCTATCTGAGGAATAAGGAAGAGGGGGCAGAAGGCAAGAACCTCAAAGTCTGAGAAACGAAGTTGCAAAAGAAAACTGCGGAGGTCTTGGGAGTGGGGAGAGGAAATGAATGTGTTGATGAGAGAAGGAAGAGGCCTGGCTTGTCAAATGCCAAAAGCACCTTGGAGAGAAGTTGGGAATTGTGATGCCCTTTGGAGATATGCATCTAGGGAACTGAGAGGGTGGGCTGCAATGCCCCCAAAGCCATCCACCCCATCCCTGTCCCAATCAAAGGAGTCACTAAATGACCACTGAGGTAAAGTGATTCACAGGGGCCAGCTCTTGGGAAATAGCTCACAGGTTCAATACTGGTGTATGCGTGTTGTTTGACAGCTAAGACTTGGGAGAGGATGGCGGCAAAATGATGATGATGATGAACACCTGGGTGGGAAATCATGTTGGCAGACTCGGGGGAAAAAAAGTCTGTGTGGGGAGGTGGTTTGGGAGAATATGGGAAACCCAAAACTGGGAGGGCGCGAAAGATGGATGAGGAAGGAACACAGAAGAAAGTGGAACAGGTGCGGAAGAAGTTAAGGTTCCAGACCAAGGGCTTTGAGAACAGCCCCCTTGCGGGCCAGCGGCTCCAGCTTGCCTAGTGGTCGCCAGTGCGCAGGTGTAGGAAGCTGACGAGAGCTTGAGGGAGGTGGCCCGGGCGCCGGGACCCGCAAACAGGGCATGGGAATCACTCACCCCGTTGGCCGCAGCCATCTGCACCACGATCTCAGTGGCCGTCCTGCTGAAGTACCTGCCGTCGCTGCCCACCACCATGGTACAACCCTGGCGGTCGCGCAGGTCGATGGACGACAGCACACTCTGGATGAAGTTAGGCAGGTAGTTGCGCTGACCCTCAAAGAGTCCTGTGGGTCGCCGCAGCCCGCCACCGCCGGTCGGCCGCTGGTCCTCGTAGGGCGCCGTGGGCACCGTCAGCACCGGGATAGGGCTCCCCTCCATGGCGCCGCTGGCCGGTCCTGCCGCGGCTGCGGGAGGGAGCCTCGGGGATCTGCCGCCCGCCCGGGCCCCCGCCGCCGCCTGGCCTCGCTCCCGGCTCCGCCTAGCGCCCTCCCCGCCCCTCCCCGCCCTCCTGCCGCTGCTCCCCGCGGGTCCCCTCCGCCTTCAGAGAAAAGTTTTCTGTGGCCCAGCGTCTTCCCAGAGGATCGCCCAGCTGTCCTCGGTTTCTTTCCCCAGCTGCCCTGACTTTCCGAGTGTCCCAAAAGCCAGCTACTGGGTCCCCAACTCCACCTTCAGTCCCGCTGAGGGACTCAGCCTTCCAGCGGATTCTGATGCACACTCTCTAGAAGACAGCCTAGGACTGGAGTCTGTGCTAGCCCGGGTCCTCTCCTGCTGGCTGGCCTCTCCCCTCACACCCTGACAGACAGCCTAGCTCAAACACAAGTTTCTCTCCCTAGTAAGGACAGAGAGGGGGGTGAGAGGGGGCTGAAACCTTTTGCCATCAGAGAACAGTCCTCGCCAAAAATAACCCTGGAAAGAAGAGCTGAGAATTGTTAGGCTCTGCCAGAGGTGAAACTGGAGGCTGGGCACTGTGTGTGTGTGTGTGTGTGTCTGTGTGTGTGTGTGTGTGTGTGTGTGTGTGTGTGTGTGTACACTCAGCAGGAACATTTGTTGTAAGGAATCACACTCTGTCAGGCCCTTCAGTCCCCAGGACCTACCCATCATCCATTTTGGTAGCATTTCTCTCAGGACGGGAACTTTTTTCTTTTCATTGTTGTAATTGCAACAAACACACTGTTTTCTTATTCTTTCTTGTCTTGTTTGTCCTTCCCACACATCTGTTTAGAAACCGCCTCCCTTCACACGGCATCTGTCCCCGCTATTGAACTTTTCTCTGGATAAATCACCTTCAATAGGAGATTTAAGCACATTTAATATTCACCAGAAATGAATGAACAAAGCCAACTGAAACAAAAATGAGGTGCAAGCTCCTGTGCTCAGCATTTTTGCCTGAATCCTTCACAGGACCTAGGGGTTGTCTGCCTTCTCTCCATAAAATCTCCCTCAAATCCAAAACCAGGAAGATCTTTGTATAGAGAAGAGTGAAGAAGGAAGGAATTAGAAGGAGAAAAAGACTGAGCTTGGCAGCACAGCTGTAATCCCAGAACACGGGAGGTGGATGAAAGAGTACAGGCTAGCCTCAGCCGCTGCTCTCCTTCTGGGAGAGCCACCTTCTGGGAGAACAGTTGGCTTGGTGCTGGGGTGTATAGTGTTCGACTTTAGTGACATAGTTAAGCAGTAATTCACACACAACCTAAAGGTTGTGTATCTCTTCCACCCTACCCCCAAGGCTAAAACCAATCAAAGGGAGTAGGATGACTGGCCCATCTTACGGATGAGGGGGAAAAGAACCTTTTGTGAAGTCAAGGAAATGGCCAAGACATCCCTTGCATCCAGCCCAGATTCTCCTCTTGCCTCTGCTTTTCATTAGTATCCTTGAACTGTGATGGAGAAGGCAGCGGAGCTATCAACTGAAACCTGCAAAGACCTTCTCCCCATTTCTTAACAGCAACGGATGGGGCCCACTCTAGAGTGGGTGGAGAGACAGAGGTCAAAGCATAGAAACCTTCAGCTACATGGGACTGATGTGTTTTCCACGACCCACTGCCCCACATGGGAGAGGAAGGAAAGGGAGCCAGGCCAGCTTTGTGACCACAGCTGGTGACACCTCCTCCCACGTCCTCACTGCTAGGTGAGTCACAAGGAATGCAAGGCTCCCTGGAATAGAGGTGTCTCCCAGCCTTCTCTGAGTCCCAAAAGATTAGCACCACCCTGAAGTCTTGGTGTGAAACGGGAGCACCTTGGTGTCCCCTTTCTTCCTCAGTATCCCCTTGTGGTCAAGACAGCACCAACCATCTTCACACACAGCACACACTAACTCAGCAAGACCTGCGTTTCCCCAGTGAGTGATGAAAGCCTTCATCCCAATCCCATCAATCCCATCCTCACAGGTCCACAGAGCATGGCAGTGGGCCCAAGACGTGGGAAACTGCAGAAAAGAGCCTGCTTCAATGTCCAACTTTTATTTAACCATGAGGTCCTTTTCTAAAACACCAATGAGCAGATCAAAGATGAGTGTCCCATCTATATCTCTATCTATATAGTGCCACACTATATCTCCAGGTCCCTTCCAATTATAACATTCTGTTCTCTGTTTTTCTTTCTTTCTTTTCATTTTTTCTTCTTCTTTTCTGAAGTGTTAAAGACATTAATCTTATCTGTATTCCAGTTAGGAACTTGCCAGATTATAGGAAAGGCAGCACGTACAGCTGCCAGGATAAAAACAGAACGTGGCTGTGGCTCTACATGCTCGTGATCACAGACAGAGGCAGGAGGATTAGGAGGCAGGGGTTCACTCCTAGGCGATAGCTGTTGCTGTGTGTTCATGCCCTGTTGGCTGCTAAGAGTGTCTTACTCCTGAAAATAAAGTCAACTTAAGAAGAAGCATGCAGAAATATTTAAAACTGTGTGTGTGTGTGTGTGTGTGTGTGTGTGTGTGTGTGTGTGTGATAGGTGTTTTGCCTCCATGTATGTCTGTGTACCACTTGCATGCCTGGTGACAGCAGAAACTAGATAAAGGTCCCAGATCCCCTGAAACTGTGGTTACAGACAGTTGTGAGCTGCCATGTGGGTGCTGGGAATCAAACCCGGGTCCTCTGGAAGAACAGTCAGTGCTCTTAACCACTGAGCCATTCCTCTAGGCCCCTGACAAGCTTTAATGTTCATTCAACACTTACATTGTACAAGTGTTTCATTTCTCTTTCAATGTTTTCTATTGTCTTATGTTTGGATTACATGGGGATATTTTTACAGGTTATTGGATTTTATACCTTGTGATGTATTCAATATGATGATAATATAGTGAGTTATATATTTGTTATTATATCTTTTTAAACAACAACAATGACAATAACAACAAAATACTGAGACTTTTCATATAGTCCTCTTACAGGAAAGTTGATTCATTGTTGATTGTTTTGATCAGTTATTACCTTTCAGGAACATGTATTACAAAGAAAAACCATAGAATAACAGACGAATTCAGAAATTCTCAAGAATTCTCTGAAAGTGTTTCTTCATCTCCAGGCCCCACTGGTGAAAGTCTAGGAGTGGGGACATCTTCTGCTGGACAGGTGATGGCAGAGTTAGCAAAGAAGCACAGTGAATCCTGAGCCCTTCTCACCAAAGACCACAGAAGCAACCCGCCGCTGCCGAAAGCATCTGCGATACACGAGGCATTTCCCTGTGGATGGCTAAGAATTTCCCACAGGTAGTTGTAAGACTCAGTCCTGTGACAAAAAGTAATTACTTTCCTTGGAAACAGCTCTCACTTTCTGACTTCAAAGAAAAGAACAACACTGCCCAGTGAGATTCCAGTTCTTTGGAAGCCCTTGGGAAAGCTGGCCGTGGTGGTACATGCCTTTAACCCCAGCACTCAGGAGGCAGGGGCAGGAGGATCTCTGTGAGAAAACAGTTGGAAGAAGAACTGCAGGCTGAGTTTTCAGTCTCAACTGCCTATTAGCTCTGTCCTGCCAGCTGCTCCCCAAAGAGTCACACAAGAGACTTATTGTTATTAATTATAAATGATCGGCCAATAGCTTAGGCTTGTCTCCTGCCAGCTCTTACAACTTAAATTAACCCTTTCTGTTAATCTATATGCTGCCCTGAAACAAATTTACCTCATCTATGATCTTCCCATGTTGCTTCTACAGCTTCTGGATTCCCTGCCTCTGCCCTTTCTTCTTCCCAGTGTTCTGTCCCGAAAATTCTGCCTAGATATCAGCCAATCAGCTTTTATTAACAATAAGAGCAACACATCTTCACAGTGTACGGAAGGATAATTCCACAGCAGGAACAGATTCCCTTAGATTAGAACACGAATTCTCTTGTGTGTGTAGAATTTGATGAGACTATTTCTGAAATTTTAAAAATCATCTAACTCTGTACTGCTGATGTTTCTATCCAGGACGGTGGGAAATCAATCTTTGTCCTTGAGAGGATGAAAGCCTCATCTCTTCATGAATGAGTGAATTAAAATGGAGCCATTTGCTTTCCAAAGTCCATAATTTTTGCAACTTTGTTAATTAACACTAATGGCTTTTCATGTTGGGCCAAGTGCAGACAGGAGTAGGAAATCATATCTTCATTAATTTTCCCCATTGGCTTCTTGTACTGGGCTCTTATGAAAGCACGTCAATATTCCACGTATCTGTGGCTACCTCCCAAAATGAACTGTGAGAGACTGGGTCTCCTTAAGATTTTTAATACATGTTCATTTATTGTATTGTGCATGTGGTGCATGCATGTGTGTGCCATAGCACACATGTAGAAGCCAGAGGACAACTTGCTAGAATCTAGCCACTTCTTCACCATGTGTGTTCTGAGATCAACTTTGGTGTCCAGGCTTAGCAGCAAGCATCTCTACCCGCTGAACCATCTTGCTAAACCCCTGAATTTCTTTTAATACTGTGTATATTTACTTACAGACCATATGTGGGTCAGTAAAAAAGCTTTTTCAGCATTAGCACTAATTCTCTAGTTTAGGTTACTGTGCTTGGTATCAGGCGAAACAAACTGATATCCACTCGAGGGCTCTTTGGTACAAAGAAAAAGAATCATTCTTATGGCAGTGGAAAAGGTCTGTTGATCTCCATTACTTTAGTAATAATAACTGAGTAATGATAGACCACAATAGTAATCCGACATAGTTTGTAATAATAGGAACAGCAAACCAGGCACTGTGCAGGGTATTTGAATAAGACCACCAACCCTAAGAGGTAGGACCACTGTATGTATGTGATCAACTCAGAAACTGATCATCTGAGACTGACTGGCTTCTTCAAGGTCTCAGGGGTAGTTGTGGATGAAGACATGAAGCCAGGAATGTAAGAACATAGAGACACCAACGTTTTAAGGTACATGTATGAAGCTCACCTTTTCATTTCTTAGTATTCATGTTGTATGTGACCTCTTCATGAAGGACTCAAGGAAGATGTGAGTTCCATTGGGAACTCCCTAAGCTAAG